TTCGTATCGACAAGATGTGCGAGAATAGAACTCGAGATCGATCTAGTTTCACGTAACCAGGCCGGTTTATGCTCACGTACCCTCTTTTCCAGGCGCCTCGTTGTTCGGCTGATGTATCCTGCTCCACAGGAGCGACTGAAAGAGTAAATACACATGGATCTGGCTTTCAACGGGAGTCGGTGTTTACCTCCCAATCGGAGGAGGGGAGAGTTCGTGAAGAACGCCCGTAAGTTCGCCGCGGTGAAAGCGCTTGCGATCGCACTCTTCAGGCGTCGCCTGACCAGCTCGCTTATTGCATCGCATCAAATAGACCTCCGTAAAATCAATGACCGCCTGCCGAAATGTTGTGCGTTATATACCCACAATGGCCATCGGTTGATGAAGTGGAGTCCACAAAAGTAAGGACGACTGGAATGGTCATTTCTGGCTTTTTGGCCGTCATCAGCCAGTCATACCCAATCCCAGGGCTGTAGACCCCAAAGATTCTAAACTGGGACCTTTGGTCATTGAGTGAAACACTCTGCTATTGCACCACGGGCTCGTTGTTTTTGTCGGTTGTGATGGGGAATAGGATTGATCTCAAATCTCGGTGATCGTTACCCCTGGGATTGGATATGACTGGCTGATGACGGTTACCAAGCCAAAATAGCCATTCTGGTCTATTTTGTCTTTGTCGGTATGCGACTGCCTGCGAGGACTCTAGATCGAACTGCAAGTCACAACGGCACGAGCATGTTTCGTATCCAGCTCGGCGAACACCCTACGATTCAGCCATGTGTTGCTTCACTGTCATCCATGCGGTCGCGTTTTGCGTACGCACAGGTTCTCCCCGAACTATTCTCCGTCACCCTCAAAAAGTGCATTTTGTTTTTTGTGTTTTTCTTCCCACGCTTGTCACACGCCTGCGTCTGTCTTTGCAACCTTTTTTAAGGAGGCCGATGAGCAGGACTACTTGACAAACAAGGAGTTGGCTGATCGCCTGCATCTTCAGCCGCCTGTTGTGGCCGCTCTGACAGACGATGTCATGATTCGAGCCCCGCAATTTGACAATGACAAGGAGGGCAACCGGCGCGTTATCAATGTGGGCCTTGCCATTCGTCCGCATAATTCTCGTGCCAATGTGAGTCATCATCCTGCCCCCGTTTCCTTCTGACGGCAGACTTCTACACTGGCTTTCATTCACGCCGGTCTCCTGTTATAATCCCATTTTCTCGCATTGTAGACAATCGGCTGGTCGAGATTTTCAGCCACGCGGGGTATGTGGCTCTTCTCCCAGCGTGTTCTCGACGTCTTGCGCAAGTACGCGGAGCTCTTTCCTGAACTGACCAACTACCTGAGCGGTTGGAATTGCAGGGGTGTTGCTGACAGTAATCACATCTTCCCTCAGGACACCTTGTAAGCGCACCGCTACGTATTTTACCTGAAAAAAATGGCCCTTACTACCTTGCATATTTAAGCTATTCTGCGGTTAAATACA